CACAAACACACACACACACACACACACACACACGCACACTCACACAACACGCACTAAACACCAAAACAAACACACATATTCACACATTCACTCACATATGTTCACAAAGATACATGATATGCAGAGTGTGTGAGAAGGAGAAAAAACGAGAAGGGGAAGAGGGAACGAGAAAGAAGGAGAGAAGGAGCGGGAGGAGGGAGACGGAAGAGGTACTGTATTAGAAACGAGGATATACAATGAAACGGAGTTAATTTTATACCAATCTCTTCTTACCTTGATAACGTTAGTGTTCAAGTGAAGGCAGGGACGAAGTTTGAAGTGATCGGCGTACCTGTTCAAATACGATTTCATCCCCTGCAGGAAATCATTTAGTATTTGAGCTTGACAGTATGATTATATGAATATAACAAGTATGGTGCAATTAGAGAGAACAAGCAGTCAAGCGGATGAAAATCTACATTTTTGTGAGGAAATCAGGTACATTGTTATTTATTCTTAATGTTTTAAACTGACGCTGCCAAATGAAGATGATTTCACTTTCCTTTTTGTCACTGTTTAAATCTTTAAAATATCTCAATATTTGGCAAAGTAAAGCATATTTTAGGTTATAAACTGTGGATCAGAAAGCTGAGAGACAGACATTAAAAAGATCGTAGTTATTTTTCTTTACAGTTTGGGGAAGTGCTTGTTTAGTAAAAGTTTTACAGCGCTTGCAATTCCGTAATGCCATATTATGAGCGCGCGGGACACAAGCTGGTTGTATTCTCGTTACTTCACAGCACTTTTGATTTTACTTTGCATGTAAGAAAGGTTGAAGTATTGTTTTAGTAAGGTTTTACAGCGCTCGCAGCTGCATAATGGTTAAAGTATACAACAATAAAAAACAACAACAACAACAGCAACAAATAGCAAAAATTCCAGTTAAAAAGAACCCAGCAGTTTACATCTTTTGTTGGTTGAACCCGTTAAAGCGTTCTGAAGTTCCGAGGCTTGCAAAGCCAGGTAAAAAATAGTCTATTTCAAAAGGTTCAAATACACCCGACACAAGCACACTGCAGCATAAGCTCCCCATAGCCAATCATCTGGGAAAGCATAGGGGTAATCATTCTTACTGAAGAAGCACAGGTAGCCGGACCATCGACCTTTTGGAAAATAAATCTTGGATCTCATTTTGGGCGCAGCTGAGACCCAATGCTGCCAGTTCTTCGATCCCCCTCCTAAAAAATATTCATCTCAAAAAGTTTCCCAACCTATTTTGTGACAAACTACTACCTTTAAGTGTCTGAGACAGGGCGTATAGAGGCGAAGAGTTATATTGTTATAGTTTTGTTGTGATCCTTTCGTAGTCTATGTAAGGACAAAAAGATAACGTAAGTGTTTTATGGTTAGCAAATGTAGATAAATATGGTATAAATTCCAGCTGGCCACATACCGAAAATGGCCAGTGCAGACAAAAACAGCATCAAATATTTCTGTTTTGACATTCTCAGCTTTTTCCTTTGCAGAAGGAGAGAAAGGCGCAGAGGTGACTTCCCATTGACCAGTGGCAGCATGGTCACTTGTGCGCCTTATCTGGGAAAAAATGTCAGAGAGAGGAAAAAAACCCACTGAAAGTTGCGAGATTAAAATTCTTTTGAAACTGTCGTTAAATTGTGTGCCCTATCTATCTATCTATCTATCTATCTATCTATCTATCTATCTATCTATCTATCTA